TTTGCCACTAAAAAATTCGGTCGCTAAATTGGTTTCTAACTATAATTTGCAACCAAATGATATTCGGTCGCTAATTATGTTGCTATTAGCGACGAAAAAAAATTGGTCGCAAATTTATTGTTATTGGCTTAATAGACTACTTTTCTTAATCTTGATGAATTAGATAATTGAGTGTTATATATAGAAATAGAGGTACTATATCCTAACATCTAACTTAACTTTTTATTAATTTATATTCACAGCTAATATATATTTATTATAAAGAAAAAATAAAGGAAAATATAATAGAAAACATAAAAATCATTCAATACCTTAAATTGATAGATACAAAGGAATAAAGGTAGTATAAAACTTTAAAAAACACAAAATTAATTCACTCATAAGTATTTATTTAACCTATCTCTTCTTTTATTATAAACTATTCTTTTATTTTAGAGTTTAACTGTTTGACATTTTTTCTTGATCTATGTACAGCTTTTGTGTCCTTCATTGTTCATAGTTTCTTTAACTTCTACCCCGTCCCTGATTATAAGATTTTTTCAATTAAATTATATATCTCTTAAAAATACTTAATTTAGTTAAAAACATTATATATGTCAACATTTTAAACTATTTTCAAAATTAACCTTCTCTTTTTTTACTTAATTATTTTTTACTTAATTAATTAATATTTAAAAAAAGAATGATGCCAAACTAGGTAGGAGATATCGATTTGTATTTATCTTTTTAATCCTAATAAGAGATAATGTTTTAATCTAACAAATTTCAAATATTTATTATTTCTCGTCTATAAAAATTGTTAATTAAATAAAGACGGGTATTACACAACAAAAAATTAATGCGAATGACAATTAGAGAAGAATCTTATAACAAAAGACAAACAAAAATAATGAAAAATCGCTTCTAGAAGTATGATTGAGAATTTTACACGTTTGCAAGATTGACATTTCATGATGAGTGTTTTGGACATTTTATGTTGGTTTGAGATGCGACATAGATCTCGATGACATAAAATATGATAGATCAATACACGACATAGAAAGTTCATATTTTATGTCGAGTGATCATCACCCATCATAGTAGGAAGGAGATACAAAATATGAAGATTTAATATATTGACATTCACATTTTATGACGAATGTGACGTTTCTTGTCATAGAATATGATTTTTTTAATATGTTATTTATTTTATGAATTTTTTCAAACTTGCATAATAGATATATATTCTAGTATATTCTAAATGGTTTAATTCGAAAAATTATTGTTCAGTTCAATACTAATCTATATAATATACACAATATATATCATTTAAATTAAAACAATGTATAAACTAACATTTGTAGCAATAAATCTTGAATTTAATAATAATTGTCATTGATTAACAACAAAGTACACCAATAAAACTAAAATAATATACACAAATTTAACCTCTCTTTCTTTATTATAAACTATTCATTTATTTTAGAGTTTAATTGTTTTCATTTTTTTTGTTTTATGTATAAGTATAAGATTATTTCAACAAATTGTCCCCTGTAAAAAATAGCTAATTTAGTTAAGAGCATTAAATATGTCAATAATTTAAACTATTTTTTAAAATTAACCTTCTCTCGTTTTACTTAATTGTTGTTCACTTAATTAATTAATAATTAAAAAAAAAAAAGAATGATGTCAAATTAGGTGAAAAATATCGATGTTTATTCATCTTTTCCATTTCTAATAAGCGATAGTGTTTTAATATAATAAATTTTAATCATTTATTATTATTTTTTGCATATAAGAATTGTTAATCGGTTACTTTGGTTAGTTTAAAAAAAGTTACACATAGGTAAATTTTATACCAAGTTAGTTTGGTTAGTTTAGTGTATTAGTATTATAGTTAGTGTAGTTATTGGTTATGAAATATAGTTTATTTATTCTATTTAATTGGACTAATTAGGTAGTGCAGTAGTAATTAATAATAAAATTAGTTTAGTGTGTTAGTAATTAGATTAAGTTAATTTTTTTAAGTAATCATATTAATAACATGAAATATCTATCGACTTTATTGATAACTAATTTTTCATTGAAAAATTAATTTAATTGATTAGCTTTTGCATGAGATTTCTCTTTTTAATCACTTTTTTATCTACAAAATTTGAACACAAGAGTTTATTTTAAAAAAATTAAATTTAATACTACTCAAATTAACGACTTGCTGATAGAATAATTAAGTTAAAATAGTGTATTATAGTAATTAAATTAGTTTACATGCACTATTAACTAGCGGAATTAGCCTAAGTTAAATTAGATCATTTAGTTTAGTATGTGCTAAGTTAAGTTAGTTTAGATATTAGTTGAATTAGTTTAGTCTATTACTATAATTAAATTAGATAAAATAAATTAAGTTAGTCTTACTAAGTTAAGTTATTTAGTTATAGGTTAGTGTATTTTATTACAAAGTTAGATTAGTTATTAATTAGTTTAGGATTTCAATAAATTAAGTTAGATTAGTTAGACTAAAATATTATTAAATTAAGTTAGTTTAAGTTAATTAGTTTAATCTATCACTTAAATTAAATTAAATTTGATTAAGTTAGTTTAGTCTTTTTTAGCCATTAAAATTATAATAACAAAATTAGAATTTAAATTTAAGATCACGTGGGTAATATTCCATAGTCAAATTAATTATATTATATCTGACCAAACTTTTTGTTTATATATAGAGTTCATGACACGCTAGTACCATATGTAAAAAAAAATAAAAATAAAAATAATAATAAATAAATAAATAAAAAAAATCAACCTCCAATCACTTAAAAAGTTAGTTTAATTTATTGCTACATTAAGTTATTTTAGATTGTGAACCTCCCAGATACGGTTGTAGACACTTCTAAAGTTAATATTAGACTTTTTTCTTTCTTTCTTTTTTCCAATCACATTATTACTTGTCATATTTATTACTTTTTCTCACTTTCATTCTTATATTTCTTTTATTGAAATCGTACTCTTTCAAAAAGAAAAAAACGCACTTTAAAAAATAAAAGCATAGTCGTAATAACTCTTTGATTAAAAAATGTAATAATTGAGTTTTTAACAATTTTAATTAGATATTTATTAGTATTTATCACAACTTTATAATTATTTTCTAAATAACTCGTTAAATACATTTTATCCTTTATTATTTCCTTTTCTAAGGTATATAGCATATAGACAATGTCAATTTTGTCGTTTGAAAAAAATATTTTTGATTACAAAATAACAAACAAACATGTATTTTTAAGAGTGAAGATTGAAACTAATAATTAAGAATGAAGATTCCTCGCTTGTAATTAGTTTTGTTTGCTGTTCCTTTCTTTTTTATTTATTTTTCTTTTCTCAAAACACCAAAAAGAACATATATTTTTAAGAATGAAGATTGAGAACAATAATTAAGAGAGAAAATGTTATTTAAAAAACAGAAAAGTCTTTCTAATTAATGATATGATACTTTTCTAGTTCTGAAAAAAGGAACGGAAAGTGGCAAAGTGAGCGGGTATTCCTGACAATTTGTTTAGTTAAAGATTAAAAAAAATGGAGAAAAAAGAAATGACAGAGATGGAGAAAAAAAATGTAGTTTGAAAATATATTATTTAGATGAATAAGAATTAAAAAAAATGTGAAAAATTCTCCCAACTTATCTAGTCAGATGAAATTGTGAGTATCAAAACAATATAAAAATTATATACAAAATCTGTTTTAACTGCCCTAGCTCAACCAATATTTTAAACTATCGCTTCAAACAAAGAAAATTAATATTGAAAAAATATATAGATTTATTTTCTCTACTCAGTTATCAACCCATAACCACAAATCTCAAAATCTCATGTGAGATGTATTCAGGTAGGGTTTGACCAAGGAGAAGGAGTATACCGAGAACTCTTTCATTCCCTAATAAGGACTATTCAAATAAACACCGACAATATAGTAAAAACATAAAACAAGTGTAATCAGATGATTAATATGTTGGTTTTATATGGTGGATGTAAAGATGGAAAATCTGAAGAACCAAAAAAATTTGTTAGATAAGTTTTTCTTAATGCGTGATGGCACTGATCTTAAAAATTTATCCGTGATATACGTATAAGTGCCGCTCCAAGAAACAATTGGGAGCTCGTGTGAAGTTCGCAAATAATTCAAAAGTTAAAGAGAAAATTCAACTAAGCTAATCTAACTGATAGAGAATAAAATATTTGAGTTAGATAAAATTTAATAAAATAGATAAAATTTTGAAGACCGAGTCAAAATTAAAACGACCATGTTTTGGATAAGATTTGTCTCAATTAAACAAAATAATTTAAAGTAATAAAAAAAATTTTAAATCTCATTTTTTGCACTACAATGGATTTACAAGGGCCATTTTCATGAATTTGAATCCTTTCCTGCAATTTTCTCTCTCCAGTAACATTAATAGTCATTAGATATATCTAATGGCTCAAATTTAATTATTTAAGAAATTCCATTAATTATAAGATTAAATTTGAGCCATTAAATATATCTCATGACTATTAATATTACAGGAGAGAGGTTGGAAAGAAAAAATTGCAAGAGAGGATCCAAATTCCATTTTCATGGGATACTAGTCCAACATCCATTACTTACCTCATTTAAAATATAAAAAGCATTTTGATCTATAAAGACTTGAGTCTTATTATAAGGATCAATCAATGACACTTTTTTTGAAATACACATATATCACACACATATGTAACAATAAAGTTTGTCATCAAAATCCAAACTCAGTGAAGATTAATACAAATAAAGATTTGTTAAGGTAAAAATATACTTTTAGATCATATTTATTACAATATTAATTATATATGTCATCTTGATAATACTTTTAACTTTTGCAAATAGACTCCTTTCCTTTCTAAGGTAGGTAAGGCCAAAGGCATTTACTGAAATTGAAAAGGTAAGATTGAAAATATATATCCCATTTAGACAAAGTAGACAAAAAATATCATCCTTTAAATAGGAAAAGCCGAAGACAATGAGAATACGAGATAGACATTAATGAAGACTTATGGAGGAACATTAGGAGCTTTAGGAATAATGATAAAATTACTCTTGTCCCCCCTGTGCAGATACAAGGCGCAAAATTTATCACGTAGATTCTGCACCCTTTTTCTCTCCTTAATAATCCATCAAAGTTTCAAAAACAAGTCATCCACCCATCATTTGAAGCCAAATGCTACACTTGGTACTAGTCAACAAAGAATTGCTATTGAAAGTTCAGGTCATGCATATATGCATTTGAATGTGAATCAAATCTATTGTAAAAAGCTTTGAGCCACTATATATACTAGAATCCAGACATTACTATGTTAATATCTGCCAAACATTTTATTACAAGGAGGTTACTATTATAGATTTTGATCGACGAAGCGAGAAAATTTGCTGATAGCTAGCATCAACTCTAAATCTTAATGGGAGGTGTCTTGAGGGGAGGAGATGAGAATGGACCGTTAACTAGACCTTGGGCAATGGACCTATAAGCTGCTTCTGTCAAATGAATTCCGTCCCAGTTTACATACGTGGACGCATTTGGGCATGCATTTGAACCACTCTGACCACACCAAGTGGACGAATTGAAATTGTAGGGTCCAACTCCACCACAGCATGCTTTCAACGCCCCATCAGTAAACCCTGTGCATGCATTTAAGGTAAGTTCAATAATTAGAAAAGAAATTGGTCCTACCCAGCGAAACATTGAACAAAATTTTCAAAAAGAAAACACATTATAAAATAATTTATTTGATAAACCGATTGCATTCAAACAAGTTGTTCAAACATACTATACTGACTGAAGGATAACTAGAAGGAGAATAACAAATAAAAATAAAACAGAGGACTCTAACCATAGAGAGCTGGTGCATGAAAGAAACGACTGGCAGCACCATAATAATCAGCATACATTATCCTTGCTTGAGGATTCTTCTGCCTTAGTGTCTCCAAAGCTTGGTTGAGTTGCTTGTTATAGTTTGCTGCAAAACCATTGAAAGCTTTCAAGCATCCACTTTCATCGTAGTCCTCCTTGTTCCCACTTTTATATGAAGTTAAGAAGAACGTAGAGCATCCAATTGGAAAATTCCCTGGCACCAATAGCTCTCTTGCTCCTTCTGCTATCAAATCCTAGCAAAATAAAGGGTAGAAAGTATAATGAATTTGATGAAATAAAATATTACAATAATGTAATTGCTATCAGAATTGTTTTCTTAACGAACTGAGTTGAGACATATTTTAGAATGTAACAAAAATGATAAAGACACACTCTTTAGAATATAACTTTTTAATTAGCTAAAATTCATTGAAATTTACAAAATTCGATAAATCTCGTAACATATTTAATGAAACTCTCAATTTTGTTATTTTTCAATGAATTTCAACAAAAAAAAAGAAAAGAGAATGTGTTAAGAGGATGTAACATAACATGGTACTATAATACTCCAATAATGAAAAATGCACTTATAGTTTGATGTAAGATACATTGGTCGCCTTTATTACTGCTTCAACGGCGGGACGAATTGTAGCTTGAAGTTGAGTAATATTTCCCGCAAAGGCAGGATAGTTGATATCGTTACCGCCTATCTCCCCCACCAGAAAGAGAGAGCGACCGAAGTAGCTATCACAATCTGTGACATGTAAGTGGACAAAAATTGAATTCAAATTTTAATTTGAAGCTTCATAAAAGTCATATATATGCAGGTGTTTCCTTTGGTGGTCAATGTTAGTATATATGTTACCTTGTTTGGTGGTGCAAAGGGAAGGTTTCAGCTTCTTAAACCAGTCAAGTTGAATGTTCAATGAGTCCTTTGTCCATAGAAATTTATCAAGTCCTGCCTCGACGAAGAATTTTGAATCAAGCGCTGTGGCTCCAGCTACGGCAAAATTTACTCCAGTATGAATGTTTTGGTCTTTGGTTAGTGCCAATTTGGGTGGTAAAAATGGCAACCCATATGCCTCAGCTACATTCAAAATTCATGGTAAGTGAAGTGCATATTATATAATGAGCTTACCTATATGTATAGTATATCATTACTATTTTATTTTCTTCTCTCCCTTTTAATTAGATGCAAGAGATTGTGGTTATTATTTATATATCCCAAATCTACCACGTACCTATAAAATCAATCATTAGTCGTCCATCTGAACAACGGCCGGTTGCATGTTTAAAATAGGTTTGACCATAAGGAGGGTTTCCGATAAATGGATGTGTGATGGCACCTGATTTAAGAAAATTGCCAGTGTCACTTATAGAGTCACCAAAGTTGAAAATTGCATTATACGGGGGAGAAGTAGAATTTGGAGCAACTTTTTCAGGGAAACAAAATGTGAAGGAAGCAATGACCAGCAGAATATAAATCTTCATGGTGTAAAGATGAAGATCAGAAGATGATAAGTTGAGTATAAATGATTAATTATGGGGTAGAGTTATATAAACCACTTAATATTGCAGCGTTTTTTTCTCACCTTTCCGTTTGATGCGTTTGTGTCTGACACTTGGTCAAACTATTAGATTCAAGAAAAAAGAATGGTGAGTTGTAAGATGTTTGCTGTTAACCGAAGGTTTTTGTTTGCAGAAACGATACATATTCCGAAAAATTTTGGCCGAAAAATCCTCAAATGTTTAAAATTTTAAAATAATAAGATTAAAAAAATATTTTATTTAAAATTTTTTACAAATGTAAATTGAATGATTTGTAATAATGATTTGGAACTGTAATTTAGAATGCATAACACTACTCTTTTATTTATGGTTAAAGAAAAAGTCTTGCATTGGTTAAAGACTTGATAAATATAAATTGCATACACACTTATCAATAAAAAAAGATATTCTTTTTTATTTTTTAACCGTCCTTACATTTTCCAAAAACTGAAGTTTTCAATTTAGGTATTTTTGTCTTGTGCAACTTTGCACATATTAAGTAGATCCACTTTTAAAACATTTTCATTGTCTAATTAGTTATAAAACTTTGAAAAAACTAAATTAACTCACTCATAAGTATTTAACCTAAATATTTAATCACATCTAGTCATAACTATATATCCAAGCCCAAAATGTTATTATAATATTAATATAATGTTATTAAGAGCTAACTATTTTTTTATATGGAATATTTTGAGTTTTATTAAGATTATTTTAATTTTAAATTGAAATAATTACTTTTTATAATTTTAATTTTCAAATATCTTATTATATAAAGTGATTAATATTTAGATAAGCTTTTTCCTCCAAAAAAGGAAAAGTTGTCCAAATCATATTATATAAAGTTGTTAACATTTATAGAAATTTTTCCTTTAAAAAAGTTTGTCTAATAGATGTTACTAAAAAAAAAAAATTACTATGTATAGTGATACACATCTTATAGTAATACAATATGTGTAACTAAATATTACTTTTATTCACACTATAAATATAATATATGTTGATATATTGTAAAATAATGTAAGTAAAAGTTACAATGACATAGAAAATATATTTTTTAATCTCATTAAAAATTAATACTAAAATTGTTTGTGTATATGTATTAAATATATTTATACTTGCATATATTTTATCTAGTGACACTTTTATATATTATATATATAACATTTTTTTTTGTAGTATGTCACTGGTAATCTTTTATTTTAATCATTAATTATTTCAACTATTTTATTCTAATACAAAATCAATTAAAAGTTAATACATACTTATTTAATCTTTACCTCATTTTCTTCATTTTTTCTCTCTTTTTGGTATGTGAATTTTTTTTTTAGCTATAAATGGAAGTACAAGATTAAGGAAATTTGCCTCTTAGTTTTGCATATTTTCTATTGATCACATGTGAGAATAAAAGTTGTTGTTCAAGTTTTTCTGCAATCCAATTTTTAATTTTAGATCACAGTGTGATGCATGCTTTCTCTCCAATTGAAAATTAAGATTGCAATTTTTTGTGTGTTTTAAATGTAGGTAGCATTTTTTTACCTGTAATTAACACTTTACTTTATAAAAAAAATTATCGCATTTTACTTTAATTGTGATTTTCAACTATTTTTAAAAAAATTAGGAACTATTAACAATTATTTAATATATTAACAAATTAGAATTAAATTTAAATGTGTTTTTGTCTCTATCTATCGTAATTATAAGAATTTAGTCTTCAAATTTTAATTATACAATTTTAATTTCTCAAATATCGTAATTGTGATATTTTGATCTTTTAATTTTTTAACTGAATAATTTTAATCTTAAAATAATATAATTCTATAATTTTAATTTTTCTTATTAAAATATGATATTTTTTTTTGTAGATGAAGTGTTACCAGGTGATATGATATATCGGTAATTTTAATCAAATTTCTTCTAATATATTTATCTTATTTAATACATTTATACTTATATCAAAATATATTAATATATATTGATTTATATTTATGAAATTATTAAATATTAATAATTATTGTATTATTTACTTGATGTGATATATGATTAATATTATAATTTTAATAATTATGAATATTTGAGAAGATGTCCAAATAAATAACACTGAATAACGTATTAAATGACATAACAGCTAAATATAAATGTCTGTATACTATTCAACACACCAGGATCGGACACCAAAACATGCTATACAGAAGATGTATCAAAAACTTTACTTATATCCGATCCAACCAAATTAGTTTGAAGTGTAGTTTTAAAATATTTGTGTGAAAGAAAAGAAGAAAAAAAAGCCTTATAAGTTGAAAAATAGATGGATTTTCTCTTCTCAGTCGGGACCCCCCTAACCACAAATTTCATGTGAAGCGCAAAATTTATTACGTGGATTCTACATCCAGAAAAAATTCTCTCCATGATAATCCATCCAAAGTTTCAAAAAAAAAAAAAAACAAAGAATTATTATTGAAAGTGCAGGTCCTACATAGATGCGTTTGATTGTGACCCTAATTTATTGTAAGACGCTTTATATTAGAATCCAGACATCACTGTTAATATCTGCCAAACATTTCATTATTTGGAGGTCACTATATATTATATAGATTTTTTCCCAATGCAGCGAGAAAATTTGCTGATAGGTAGCATCAACTCTAAGCTATCTTATTGGGAGGGGTCTTGAGAGGAGGAGATGAGAATGGACCGTAAATTAGACCTTCAGCAATGTACCTATAAGCTGCTTCTGTCAAATGAAATCCATCCCAGTTTGCATATGTGGACGAATTTGCACATGCTTTTGAACCATTGTGACCACACGTTGCGGATATATTGAAATTGTAGGGTCCACCTTCACCACAGCATGCTCTCAACACCCCATGAGTAAACCCTGTGCATGCACATCATAAGTTCATAAATCTATTGCATTCAAACATACTGAAGGATAGCTAGGAAGGTAAAATAAAAATAAAACAAAAAAATAAACAAGGACAAAAAAGTAAGGCTAACCATAGTGTCCCGGTGCATGGCAATAACGATTGGCAGCACCATAATAATCAGCATACAGTATCCTTGAATGAGGATTCTTCTGCCTTACTGTCTCCAAAGCTTGTTTCAGTTGTTTGTTACAGTACGCTGCAAAACTATTGAAAGCTTTCAAGCATCCAATTTCATCGTAGTCCTCCTTGTTCTCGCTTCTAAATAAAGTTAGGTAGAACGCAGAGCATCCAATTGGCAAATTCCCTGGCACCAATAGCTCCCTTGCTCCTTCAGCTATCAATTCCTACCAAAATAAGGGGTAGAAAGTAGAATTAATTTGATGGACTAGAATATTACATTAATGTATAATTGCTATCATTATTTTTTTTAACAAATTGAGTTGAGAAAGACATTAATATTTAAGAAAAAATGTTGAAACTTTTGAACATATTTTTTTATTGATTAAAATTTATTACAAAATATAAAATTTGATAAATCTGACACTCAATTTAATGAATTTTTCATGATTTTGTGATTTTTTTAATAAGTTTTGACAAAAAAAAAAGTTGTTAAAAAAATGTGACAGAGTGTGTTGTTAGCACCCGAATAATAATAAATGCATTTATAATTTGATATAAGATACATTGATGGCCTTTGTTATTGCTTCAATGACCGGAGGAACGATAGCTTGAAGTTGAGTAATATTATTTCCAGCAAAGGCCACATAGTTAACATCATTACCACCTATCTCCCCACTAGAAAGAGAGAGTGTTTGAAGTAGCTATCACAATCTGTGACATGTAAGTGGACAGAAATTAAATTCAAATTTTAATTTTGGAAACTTCATAAAAGTCATATATATGCAAGTGTTTCCTTTGGTGGTCAATGTTAGTATATATGTTACCTTGTTTGGTGGTGCAAAGAGAGGGTTTGAGCTTCCTAAACCAGTCAAGTTGAATGCTCAATGAGTCATTTGTCCATAGAAATTTTCCAAGTCCTGCTTGAATGAAGAAATTCGAATCAAGCGCTGTGGCTCCGGCTACAGCAAAATTTACTCCAGCATGAATGTTTTGGTCTTTGGTTAGTGCCAGATAGGGTGGTAAAAATGGCAACCCATATGCCTCAGCTACATTCAAAATTCAGGACAATTGAGTATCATAAAAGACCTTATAATTATTTGTATATCTTTTCTATTGTATTTTCTTCTCTCCCTTATAGACGCAAGAATAGTGATTACTATTTACGCATCACAAATCTACCACGTACCTATAAAATCAATCACTAGTCGTCCATCCGAGCAACGACCGGTTGCATTTTTAAAATAAGTTCGTCCATAAGGAAGCTTTCCGATAACTGGAAATTTAATGGCACCCGAGTGTAGGAAATTGCCCGTGTCACTCAAAGAGTCACCAAAGTTGAAAATTGCATCGTATGGACGAGAACTAGAATTTGAAGCAACTTTTTCAATGAAACAAAATCTGAAAGAAGTAATCGCTAGCAGAATATAGATCTTCATGGTTCAATGATGAAGATCCGAAGATGGTTGAGCAAGAAAACGTATAATAAGTTGAGTATAAATGGTTAATTACGGGGTTGAGTTATATAAACCACGTATACAATTGAGCTTTAAATATTGCCGGGTTTTTTTTTTTCACCTTTCCGTTTACGTGTGATAATTGGTCAAACTATTAGATTCAAGAAAAAGAGAATCGTGAGTTGTAAGATGTGTGCTGTTAACTCAAGTTTTTATTATGGTTATTTGTTGGAAATTATTACATTCTATTTCAGCGGTGAACCATAGAGGAGGATGAAGGCAACTAACAATTATCGTTCAGAATTAAACATAAAAAGCAATGCTGGTTTTACTTCTTTTTCTTTTTTTAACTAAAGAGGAAAATAAAAAATTATTAACTTAAATGATTTGAAATATATGCTTTTTAATCAAGAATTGATATTCCATTTTTGATTTGTAATATAGATAGTTGCAACTGAATATACCACTTTAACAATAAAAAATGAAAAAAATTTAAAGAAGAATGAATTACATATAACTAACAAAATAGAGTTAACTCTATTTATATTATTTCCCGTGATATTATCAGTATACAATCAACTTGCACCCTGTATTATTTATGATCTTTTATTCTTAAATATAAGAGGTCATAAATGGCTAAACTGGAATACAACCACAAACAATTAAGTCAAGATCGACTAAGTACATCAGCACACAAAATTGTTATTTAGCGAAAAAAGTAAGCAACTAAATAAATAAAGTCGGCCACAAAACCGATACAATTGGGTCTGATTAGTTGTCAAAATATGAACTATTATATACTATTATAACTTAACTTGCTGTTTGTTATATCAACAAGCTAGGATAGTCTTGTTTAATTCTTTATTTTATATCTTATTAGTCGAATATATTTTTTATCATAAAAAAAGAAGAAATAAATTAGGATGGAACAAAATAAGATATGTCTGTTCCCTCCTTTTTCTATATACATTATGTTATATATTATATTATATTATACAAAATAATAAAATATATATAATAAATATAGCAGCATATATGATATTAAAGATTAATTTACAAAATATATAGCAATATATATTATATGATATTTATTTATATTTTGATATATATAATATTATATATTATTATTTTTTATCAATAGAAATTAGAATGATGGCATCAAAATTTGTACTTTGAATTTTATATATACTATTTTAACCTTTACCACTAAGTTGATCGTAAGGATTAATATTATATACAATAATGTTTGAATAATAATTGTAATTTAAAAATACTGTATATTTTTATAATTCTAAGAAAAGTAATTACATAAATAAAAAATAATTTTGTATAATATAGTTAAAATATTTTTTTAATTTTAAAATTTTAAATTAAAAGTTATTTTTTTTAAAGGTTATATGTAGTTTTAATGAAACAGAAATTTTTTTATTTCAACATAATTATCATCATATTTTATTGGTATATATGTTAAATATAAAAATATTGTTTGATTTGTTATCATAATAATATAAATCAAACATTTAATAGGATTAAAATTTATATTCCTTTTATCATAACCTAATCTTATAATATCTCATATATATATATATATATA